TTAAAGAGAATATTCATTTCTGTGTGAACTTGCAGCGTGCAGCTTCACTGAGCTGATATAGTTTTCATTTTTTTCTCTCTCTTTGGAGATGAAATTGAAGCGGTGCATTTCAATATCAGCAGTTGGGCCTGGTGCAAGAAGTACATAGTGTGACTGCCATCATTGTCTCTCTGTGACCTAACAAGGGCCTTTGTGTTTGGATGTGAAATGGAAAAACACATCATTGCAGTGTGAATACATGCTAAATAAAATATCCTCTATGAATCCTGGTTTTCACATAATAAGCAGAACAACTGTTTTCAACATTGATCATAATAAGAAATGTTTCTAGAGCACCAAATCATGTGACACTGAAGACTGGAGTAATGATGCTGAAAATTCAGTTTTGCCATCACAGGAATAAATTACATTTTAAAATATGTTAAAATAGATGACAGGTATTTTAAATTGTTATAATATTTCACTATATTTGATGAGCATAAGATATCAGAAACATTTAAAAATCTTACCAACCACAAACTTTTGAAGGGTGTTAGTGTATATTGAAGAAATATTTCATATTTAAATAGATAAACTTTTAATACAATGTAATATTTAATACAATAGTGCATATGCTTGGTTTGCACTTTAATGCACTCCTTCAATGTCAAGCACTGAATTTCACATTGATTAGTTTGAGAGTTTAAGAATGGCTCTCGATTGGTCACATGACGGCAGGCAATCAACCAAACAAGGAGAGGAACTTTTATGCACACTCTACGTCTTTTATCTTCTCAACATTAATTACAATCATGTAATTTCTTAATTCCCAACTGTCGGCACCTCACAGATGGCAATATTATTTACAATACACAATGTTGCCTGGAGCCTGGCCAGATGCTGTCTTAATATGGATTTGATCATCTGTAACTTTGGCAGTTTGTCAATTAGTCTATTTTTTTGCAATATGAAGAAAAAAAACAATCTGTTTATTTTCTGTCTTCTTTTGCCTTTCCCATCTTCCTTTGTAAACCGATACAAAGAGTCAGATTTAGGGAACTGACAAAGGGTAATCAAAACAGATAAGTATAATAGAAAAAGTTTTAAACAAGGGTTATTAATATCATAATTCATAACTAATAATGGCCATGGATCATCAACCACCCATAACCCCTTCCAAACATAATTTCCTTTGACTTAATTTTTTTTTTATACTGGGATATTATTTTCTAACTCTAACACAAAGTCTTTTTGTGTTTTTAGACTTTCCTAAAACATTATTTAGTATGTTTTTGAGCAGTTTACAGGGATTATTGGCTTGACCCCAAAATGCAGGTCATTTCAAGCTTATATTTGGGCAATACTTTTTAATGCATTCATAAAAATAATTACTTGATAATCTGTTATATTGATATATTAATATATCATTCATATTAAAATGTTCAATCAGTCCTGTTGACTTTAAATTAAAGAGAAATAACATCAATAATCAGAAAAAGAAGAGAAATCTTTTGCATGCTGTCCAGTACAACTGTGATTCAAGACCAGTGCCTGCTGTGGCCGTGTCTGCTTTCAAACAGGGATTATGTTTAAAGCTCAATGTGTATTGTTCAATGTGACACGGTCAATTCATCATTAGTTTTGAGCGGAGAACGGATGAGTACACTTTCAATTTAGTTCACAGCCTTTCTTCATTCATCATGCCTCTTCATCATCCATCATTTCCCGCCTTTGATTTGTAGAAAAAACACACTTTCATAAGTTTAATGCAATTAATCATGAGGCAGGATAATTTTCTATTAATGGACCACAACCATTATTTCATTATTCATTTGATGAACTTGCACAGTGTGTTTCACGGAGGTGTGATTATAAGCACTGCTCACCAAGCATGAACGTGTGCCACTCCGGATCGTTGTTGCTGTTTCTTAAATGGCTCCGTGTTCAATCCGCCTGCTCTGCCGTCCGACTGTAGCTTTTGTCTTCATATAACAAGTCCTGATAAATTGGAAAAGTTGCAGGCATAGATGAGAGCTGACCCGAAAAACAAAAGCAATCACAGTAAAGGGTAAAACGCCTGGAACGGTGAACCGCGACAGCTCTCGCATTCAAGGTGAAATTCTGCCTCCCTCTCCATAAAAAGAGAAACATACATACGCACAGAAAGCAAACAATTTATGATCTTGTTACTTGAGCTGAATCATTTCAAACCTGTCTGGTTTCTTTGAAAGTCCTAGAAGTTATTTTCAATACCCAGTACTGACACATAATATTAAAACTAGTTCAATTGAATACTTAACCCCTCACGTGAAAGAATGTATGGCATCTAAAGTTTTGTTTGATTCTTAAGCCTTGGTTCCAGTGTTGTGGAAAGTTACTTTTTAAAGTAATCTATTACAATATTGCGTTACACCCTAAAAAAAGTACACAAAAAATATGATCAATAAGTTATGAAAGCAAATGTTTTTACATTGCTTTAACTCATCAAAATAAGTTCAGTAATTTCATCTCTAACTGATCAAAAAAGTTGCCTACAAGATTTGTGTAAATTAAGTTGAAATTACTTAAGTTTTTAAGTACAATCAACTTGAATGTTTAAGGCAGCAACTTTTTTTGCAGTGTAAAATTCTGAGTTTGCATTTCACTGTTTTTATTCATTTTGAGGAATACTGAATCTGTTTTGGTCCAAGTTCGATGAAGATAAATGCATGCTCACATTTAGTAGAACTAACTACCATGTTTACGCCTCTGCACTGCACCTAAAGAGAAGTGTCATGGGAAAAAAAGGTTACTTGAGTTACTTATTTGAAAAAGTAACTCAGATATTTTGTCGTAAATGTAAAAATAATGCTTTGCTTTACTAGTTACTTGAAAAAAGTAATCTGATTACTTGCATCATTTGTACCTGCTTGGTTCTATGTCTTTTGTTTTGGAAACTTATAAATAGACCTGAAATAAAAGATTTGACTTGAGCAATGATGCTGTATAAAAATTCCAGCTGATTATAAGAACTTAATTATTTTTCAAACTGAATAGTCTTGAATCTCGCAGCAGATCAATCAGCTCTCGGGCTCAAAGAACTTCCAACTCCATTTTAGCTCAATCAAAAAGGGAAAAAAAATCAATGTGGTCCAATTATAGTCTATTTCATTAAGGTATGTTAATCAGGTAGAATTGCAAATGAGTTGGGCCTATGATTTTTCTTCTTGTACGCTGCCGATATACAGTAGACGGTGTTGATAAACCATTACAAGCATATTGACATCTGCTGGATGGATCAAGTGCATAACTCACCTGTTGAATCACACGTTATTTTGAACTTAAAGTTAAATTATAAAGTTATAAAATCAAAGGAACATGCAGGAAGCCTTTTCCCCCCCCCAGATTCACAGTGTACCATGTTAAGGCATCATGCACATCATTTGGTTCCAGCTATGGTCGAGGAGAGGACATGTCTAAGACCATGACAAAAGCCGAGCAAACTTCTTTCATTGTATTATTTTTCCTCTCCTCAGCCAGCCTTTTCATTTGGACCGTATATGTTTTTGGTAATCCAATTTTTTCAGTCTGGCTGGAAACAAGCAAAGAAGCATCAATTGTTAAGTGCACTGCTCAAATAAACAAAAAATATGGCATGCAAACAGGATTAAAACTGCTACTTAATTGTCTAAATAAGGTAAATTATGCAGTTAAACTGTAAAGAAAGGCATAAGCAACCACTATAAATTAGCAGATGCTTTCAAACCTTGAGTAATGTTTTATTTGTCCAGGTTTGATCATAAAACTGACTATATTTAATAGGGTTGTGTTTGAGAACATTCGAACACTAAAACTCCTAGTGAGGTGCCGAGCTTTTCGAGAAAAGAGAGTCTGCAGAGACTTCTTCCAGTATTCCTCTATTGATTTTTCCCTCAGAGACATATTGTACCTCAAGATCTCATGCATTAGTGTAGGAGGTCCACTCGAGTCTCAGAAAGGATGGTAGAACAATGTATTTAAAAAACATTCGGCTCTAACTAATGGCAGGTCCTCGGCAAAAGCGAGGTCATTTACCCTTCTGATTAGGTAAGCAAGTCAGTTCCAGGCAAACTGTGATTTAAAATGATGTCCAGCTTGAACTACATTCTCCAGGAAAATGATCTAATTTAGTGATTTATTCATATTTACTGAGTGTCCTGGCATTACATTTGTATAGATCACATCTGGGTAAAAACAGAAATCGGGAAAATCGAATCAAAATACAGAGACGTGGCCGCCTGTCGCACAGAGTCTACATTCGAGGCTCTGCCGGGGTCACTTCCATGCTTTTTATGATGTCGCTTTGAAATCTATCCGAATCACATTAAATTGGATATAAAGATGTGCAGACACATACATCACAGTAAATGGTGTGCCAGAGCACTGCTCGTGGAGAATCCCACCTCAACAATCAGGTTATAAAATCGGCTTCAGATCCGATTAATAATTTACAATCCTGTTAGGGGAGAACAAACATTTCTGTTCAAGCAATTTAAGTTGCAGGACTGTTATTAAAGCCCGCTGCTGCTTTTCGCGGCGGGGGCTGGAGGATCGTCTGGGGATGTGCGGTCGGTCAGAGAGAGAGAGAGAGAGAGAGCGAGCGAGGGACAGCTAAGCCTGCTTCAGCCCTCTGTGCCAGAGAATAACTATGTTCTATTTCACACTCTATGCTTTCTTTATTAAACTGCCATCGAAGTAAGCACATATTGCTCACCGTCTCCTCTTTGAATGTACCGTGACTGCACCCTCTCCTTTCCCCCGTGCTGGGAAACTTTGTCGACTTTCCGTAGCAAAATGTTAGCGCCTAATGACTTTATAATGGCAGACGTTTCAATGGAGCTCTAAGTAAAATGAGCTGGTGCTCGTGCAATTAAAGCTCAATGGTGCTTTGTGCATCACCCATCACTAATTGACACAAGGGAGACAGATCTGCCTTTTCGCAGAGGCCTGAAAAGTGCCCGCAGGCTTAATGTAATTATTGTATATTTTATGTGCTTGTTACATTCTACACAGGTTTTGCTCACATTATGTACTTTGTGAATATTACAGGTTGACTGCTAAATATCGTCTCAATGAAAATGATTAATGCTTTGAAAGATGAATGTTTCATTTCATTATTTTATTAGGAAAGACAATCATGATAGTGAGCTGTCTTGATGTGGCTCAAATGTTTGGTAACAGTGACCTCTAGTGTCCACACATGAACAGCCCACTGGACCTGAGAAAAGTGTGTGCAGCTCACATTCTGAAAGAGCTTTAAGAAATCATGTAACAGGAATAAAATGTGAACATGCACAAAGTGAATATTTTAACATGCAAATCTATACACTGTATTGTGGGGGGGACTAGAACCCAACAATGATTGAGAACAAGGTGAAAATCTAACGCGTTTCAGCGAGTATTGTAGCTATGTATCAACAATTTGTTAAGATTTATGTACACAAAAAAGGAAAAGTTCAGATCTCAAGAATATATTTTCCAGTAAAAAAAAAAAAAGCTGAATCAAAAAGAGCAACATTGCACAGCAGCGGGACTGAGCCTATTTTTTTTTCCGGTGGCTGAGCTAGATGTGTTTCTTACTTTCAGATCAAGTTCATAAATAGTGTGAGCTGAAATTTACATGGGATCAGCAAAGGCTTCGCAAGAGTCCGAGCCTACGATCATACTGCTGTACATCTTCTGTTGCTCCTCCTTGTATGACTCCTTGACCTTTGCTCTCTTCAGTCCTCCATCCCTGGAACATAATAATACTTTAATCTATAGCAAATCTATAGCAATTTGTGACTTGCCAGGCTAATAGTTGATCATTTTGAGATTATATTGCCACTCATATTAATCATCCTTACACTAGTGCTAAAAACTTTAATGGACATTTAAATATTATGAATAAATAATGAATAATGTTTTCTCCAGAGAAAGCAAAAATAAATTAAATAATAAAATATGCATATTTAATTTATTTAAAAAATAAGTGTATATTCTTACCAGGACAAATCCACCAGTCCTCCCTGATATGCAATTGCTGATTTTACTCTGTTAGCAAAATGAACAGCATCCTCTCCATCCTACAAAATACATATTCAGATACAATGAAATAAAGGAACCAAGGCTCTACCAGTTAAAAGTTTATATAGACCTGAAATGCTCATAAAAGTAATTGAAATAACAAGAAATAACACAATCAAAGTGGGCAATTGTCACCCTGTGCTTATAATACAGTTCTGCATGCTCTGAAGCTGCACGATTAATCGTTAAAAGATCGCAATCTCGACTCAAACACCCACGTGATCTAATTTCTAGTGACAACAGTTCGCCTTAGTGTGTGTCAATTAAAGGTATTGTAGGTAGGAATTTTATAAAAAACTTTTTCCCAAATTTGTTTAAACTTTCTGTATATATAAATGCATAATTAAAATGTAAGTACTCTGATAAAAGAGTATAAAAATCGAGTGACTCTAGACCGTTTAATCTGCACTAAACACAGCTCATTATTTCCTTCCGGGACGAAATAAAGGATTGGCTTAGGCGACTGTCACTCTCTCGCAACCATGGCAACCACCCTTTTGCCACACAGGACCTGCCCACTTGCGCGTACCCGTTTGATTTGAGGAATTCAAGAGGCACGGAACCTAGGAATAGCAAAACAATGGCAGAGAAAGACCAATCAAAATTCACAATGCAGTTCGCGAAGGCAAACCTTAACCAGGCAAAAAAAAAAAAGGAACACAGTAACGTTACTAGAAAAGGTAATGAACAAAAAGTCTTTGGATAAACAACGAAATAAAACGCGTGTCAATATCGGTGTGGCTTTCCAGCGATGGCGAGAACTGAGAGACCTCAAGGGGATGAAAAGTGACGCCTTGTGACGACCCTGGATCTGTCCTCGAGCTGACGATGCGGTACTTGTCTCTGGAGTGTAGTCCTCATCAGAGTCAACAATGCTTTCATCATGGAAACTCTTACATGCAGAACACCATATACGGTATGTTATGAATGTTACACGAAATTCATCTTCATCACAGTGTAAATGATGGCAATGGAAAAACGTGTACCATGCAACCTGTTTTTAGCTTTGCCTTATAGATAACTAGCTCGTTAGCGAATCAATATATATTTTAAACTTTACCAATATCAATATGCTAGCTTGATAGTGAGTACTAAAATACATCTTATTTGTTTATCTTCATAATGATTTTTTTATTACATGTGATTCTGACATGATGTCACTACATGCACTGCGCTCCTTCCTCTCCGCTCGTCTCAGGTAAATAATGCGTCTTCAGCTCAGCGGTCGGAGTCGCGCATTCATGTGTTTTTGGGGCGTGGCTTTGGAAGGAGCCCAGAAGGGAGAGGGTGGAGTGAATGGAAATAATGAGCTGTCTTTAAAACAGTCGTGAGAGGTCTACAGACACTTTATTTTTATACTTTCTTTTTCAGAGTACTTACATTTTAATTATGCATTGATATATACAGAAAGTTTAAACAAATTTGGAAACAAGTTTTTTATAAAATTCCTACCTACAATACCTTTAAACATTTGACAAAATCACAGTGGAACATTCAAATCAGTGTTCGCGCTGCCGCTGAGCCAGAGAGCAGTTGTCATGTATAGGCAAAAAAACGTCTTCACAAACAGTATTTTCAACTACACAGAATCGTTGCTTCTGTGTTCCAAATATTAAAATTAGCATACAAGTACTGGGATAAAAGTTTAAAGGTCAGATATAAACACTGATGTCTATATAAGCAGTGATCAAAATAGAGCAAATCACCTTTTGAAAGTAAATTGGCGCTTCAAATAACGATTGTATAGATTACATAGTAACGCCACTGGGTGTCAAAAAAGTGACTGTTAAAAAATGTATTTGTCATTGAATCATTCATTTAAGAGATTTGTTCAAAAGGGCTGATTCATCCAGCAATGAAACAATGAGACATCCAAACCGATTTTTTCAAAATAATTCATTCAAATTAATTAAATATTTAAAATAGACTGCAGCAATTAACATTTTGTCAGAACTTCTAATAAATTACATATCATTTTGTTTAGTTGTCTGTACAGAATCGTGGGAGAATTGTGATCTTTGTTTGAAACAAAAAAATCGTGATTCTCAATTTACCCAGAATCGTGCAGCTCTACCTGATGCATTCTGGGATGCTTTTAAACAGTTTTGAAATATAAATCAATGAATAAAATAAATGTTTCTGCTTAGGCTCCAGCATTCGTGGAACCTTACATAGGACGGACGGACAGACAGACAGAGATAGATGTTTCTGCTTACCTGTCGAGTCATAGGTGGGAGGTACCACACGTTGCACACAATGGCCCAGCTTGTCATCATTCTGAGGATGTAGCTCACCATGTTATACTTGGCACTGTTCCAGAAGGCATCTCCAAACTGAGGGTCATACTGAAAGAGAGAAGTACATGAGGTGTGTCCCTTTCAGAGGGTGCCTGTAGGAAAACACTGGCTTGTTAGCACTCGATACCTTGATTGCAACTGGGTATATAGTTCCACCTATTTCAAAGCTTCCCTTCTTGAACATCATGACTGATGTATTATTAATGCAAGTTCCTAAAATGAACACAAAGACAGAGCATAGGGAGTTTGGGAATAGGATAACAAATGGCATAGAGATATATTCAAATAAATATGTGAAATTTGTATATATAAATTAAATACGCATACTATGATTTTTGATACTTTCTTTTATAGTAGATTTACTGCATAATTAATGCTTTACTATAAGCAGAAGGACACATGAATATAACTTGTACCCTCTGGGAAGATCAGGATTGGCAGCTTAGTTTTATCAGCGATATGGTCTTTCAACCTGCGGGAAAAGCAAAACTAAGGCTTTATGTTCTAAGCGAGGACATAACAACTCCGACAGACTAATAAATACACACTTTGTCACCTTTTGGCAACCGCATGGCGATCTTTCATCTCTGATCTCTCAAACCAAACATGAGGACAGGATCGCACTATTGACCTCTGAATGACCCCCAAGAGGCCTCCATGAACTTGACCTACCTGAGGAGAATAAAACTGAGTTAAGGACACCTGAGACCTCTACAGACACACAATGTCACACATCTGATAAAGTCAGCGTGACTCACCATAGCATAACATCCATCGTTCGCCAGAATGACAATGTCAATCGGGGAGGTGTGGTTGGCCACACAGATACCTCCTTTTTTTGGACGATTCTCTCTGTTATGCATCCCATGAGACAAATATAAGAAACAATGGTCATTTGACTATATTAGGGAGTGTTATAAAGAAAAAGATGTGTATGCATGGCCGAGAATGACGATGAGACATAATAACGACCACCTTATCCATCTCAGCAAATACACTGTAAGCCACTGTAATTTCTAGAGATTCTAACTAAAACTCCTATCTTGTCGCTGAATTGCTTGTATCCACAGCAGTTGTCCTTTAGCTTCTTTTATTTATTTAGTTACTTTGACATGTTTTACTTTCTAAAAGGGTTGCAAAATGCAAAAACAGATATAATAAAGTCCACAGTAAATGATATTTGATGTACGCCACTGTTTTCGTGACCAGTTTGTGTATGTGTTTTATGTTAGCATGCTAGGGAGAATGCTGGAGAAAAACACTCGAGAAGTAGCCTGGGTTTCCCCATGCTGCCTTTGCGCAGCGCGATTTTATTCTCAATGAGACGTGGTCTGACGTTAGCCAGGCTACTCGAGAAGCAAGGGGAAACTGAAAACAGTGAGACGACAATCAAAGTGGAACGACTGGGATAAAAAAAGTAGCAGTGACTCACTTATTATGATAGCGGATGGTTGCAGACAGGCCTCTGGCACATATTCTGTAGCATGTAATGTGAACCAAATCACTGAGCCAGTTCTTCGCACTGAAAGAGACACAAACCCTTCCCTTTAAGAAATGCTTCTTCAGACTCAGTCAAAAAAATATTAAAATATCATTCCATCCATATATAACAAACATATTTGAAAATACTTTTGTTCAAGTTGAACATATCTTATTCAGTCAGTCCATAAACGGAGGACAAGAGAATATGGTATAATTACTGTAATTATGGCATGCAATATTAATTACTTGCTGTTAGGAAGCAGTCCAACAAGAGTAGTTCCTATCACCAACCAGCTCAATCCAATAGCAGCCAAAGTGATCCTATGACAGAGCAATAATATGATTCATATACATATGGATGAATCACAAAAAAACATGGCCAGGTCACAATAATGAGAATGAGAAGGTGGGAAATGTGCTTAAGTGTAATGATATACACTCACCGGCCACTTTATTAGGTACACCTGTCCAACTGCTCGTTAACACTTAATTTCTAAGCAGCCAATCACATGGCGGCAACTCAGTGCATTTAGGCATGTAGACATGGTCAAGACAATCTCCTGCAGTTCAAACCGAGCATCAGTATGGGGAAGAAAGTTGATTTGAGTGACTTTGAACGTGGCATGATTGTTGGTGCCAGAAGGGCTGGTCTGAGTATTTCAGAAACTGCTAATCTACTGGGATTTTCACGCACAACCATCTCTAGGGTTTACAGAGAATGGTCCGAAAAAGAAAAAACATCCAGTGAGCGGCAGTTCTGTGGGCGGAAATGCCTTGTTGATGCCAGAGGTCAGAGGAGAATGGCCAGACTGGTTCGAGCTGATAGAAGGGCAACAGTGACTGAAATAACCACTCGTTACAACCGAGGTTGTAAAGCATTTGTGAAGCCACAACACGCACAACCTTGAGGCGGATGGGCTACAACAGCAGAAGACTCCACCGGGTACCACTCATCTCCACTACAAATAGGAAAAAGAGGCTACAATTTGCAAGAGCTCACCAAAATTGAACAGTTGAAGACTGGAAAAATGTTGCCTGGTCTGATGAGTCTCGATTTCTGTGGAGACATTCAGATGTTAGAGTCAGAATTTGGCGTAAACAGAATGAGAACATGGAACCATCATGCCTTGTTACCACTGTGCAGGCTGGTGATGGTGGTGTAATGGTGTGGGGGATGTTTTCCTGGCACACTTTAGGCCCCTTAGTGCCAATTGGGCATCGTTTAAATGCCACGGCCTACCTGAGCATTGTTTCTGACCATGTCCATCCCTTTATGGCCACCATGTCCCATCCTCTGATGGCTACTTCCACCATGTCACAAAGCTCTAATCATTTCAAATTGGTTTCTTGAACATGACAATGAGTTCACTGTACTAAAATGGCCTCCACAGTCACCAGATCTCAACCCAATAGAGCATCTTTGGGATGTGGTGGAACGGGAGATTCGCATCATGGATGTGCAGCCGACAAATCTGCGGCAACTGTGTGATGCCATCATGTCAATATGGACCAAACTCCCTGAGGAATGCTTCCAGCACCTTGTTGAATCTATGCCACGAAGAATTGAGGCAGTTCTGAAGGCAAAAGGGGGTCCAACCCGTTACTAGCATGGGGTACCTAATAAAGTGGCCGGTGAGTGTATATATATATATATATACTGTATATACAATTTTTTAATGTTTTGAAGTCTTTATATACGTTTTTTTTATGTTTTGAAGTCTCTTATGCTCACCAGCATTTTAATATATTTTAAAATGTAGTTTATTCCTGTGATGTCAAAGCTGAATTTTGGGCATCATTACTCCAGTCTTCAGTGTCACATGATCCTACATAAATCATTCTGATATGCTGATTTGGTGTTCAAACAATTCTGCTGAAAACTGTTGTGCTGCTTAATATTTTTTTTGGGACTGTAATCATTTTTTTTCTGGATTATTTGATGAATAGAAAGTGACCTTCGATGAAAGTAAAAATAACCTTTTGCAACAACGTAAATGTCTTTGTCACTTTTGATAATTATAATGCATATTTGATTAATTTATGTCACTTAATGAGTGAAATACAAGTCCAAGCTCACCTGAGAGGTAATAAAATACAGTAACGTATAAAAACTCCCAGGCCCCATATGATGGTGAGCCGCACACTGATGTAGCGAAAGTTGTTGTTGGTTCGTGTGAGAAGGTTCCAGGAAGCCAGTTCCTCCGACGTGAAGCGCTGAGTCACCTGATCCTCGACAATGTTTTCAATGCCGTTCTTACAGAAATAGAAGACATCACATAGAGTGAAGTCTCCCCCCGCCAGATTTTTGGGATGGGACCGTCGCAGTTCTTCGATCTCCTCCTCCATAGAACCGTCCTCTTTTTCGATTATCCCTGAGAAGACATTTGAAATGAGTTCTTTTCTTGAGGATCCCACATGAGCACACAATGCTTTTGTGACACAGTTGCTGCTATATACTTTACTTTCTTTATTTTCTGGAGCAAGTATGATTTCTAATGTAAGTATGATTTCATGTGTGTCCTGAGATCAGGATTCATACAGTTCATCAGCGAAAATACCCTGCCTGAGACCGGGTAAAGGTCATAAATAAGATCAACTGAAATTATGAAATCCATCACTTGCTGCAATACCAAACACAGCGTGTTCAACAGACCATGAATGACAGGCATCAGGCCAATAAATAAGAAAAGCATTTAAAACATTATTTTCGTATACAGAGAGTTAACTTCAACTAAGACTTATAAATATGAGCAATGAATAATTAAATAAGACAAACAAAAGGGAGCAAATTAATCCACACATTTTTATGATTGTGTAATATGCAGCATCAAAAACACCAAAGAGGAAGCCATGGCTAGCCTTCACATGACGTTTTCTTGAAATCAAATGCTTGTGTTTTATGCACATGATAGTCTCATAGTCATAAATATTTTTCCTTGACAGACACCCTCACTCACCGTTGGCTGACTGTGATGGCAGTGTTGGCTGTTCCTTCTGTCCTCGTTGGATCCTGAGAGTCGCCCACTAAACAGGACATAAGTTATTTATGGGTAACCTTTAACACAATGCTTTCTACAGCCACAAGTCAAAGTGCAATGTCTTCCTCTGAAATAAATACTAAAAACAAAACCCCTGAAAATTACATTTATTTGGATTTCATGCCTTTTGACCCTCTTTTGCAAGTTTATCTTGGCATCATCGACTTCTGTCATGTCTAAAGAAAGTAAAAAAGCTTTCCAAGTTTGCAACTACAATTAATTGAAATATTATATCAGGCATGGAAAGCAATTAATAGTCATATGTCTTTAGAAATGACTTATAGCCTTTACCTCTAGTATCTTAACCAGAACCTTGATGTAGATATCTGTGAACCCCAGGGAGACGCCAAACATGGCAGGTAACATGATGAGGCCCACTACTATGGATAGCCACACCTGGAAGAGAACAAGTGCGACGTCCCAAGTACCTTCCATCTCTCTGCTCTCCTTCCTGTCAGTCTATGGGACTGGGCTCTGGGCTCAGGCCATCTGCTTAAATGGGTGAAGGTAAAAGCCAAAACAGAGGTGGTGCTTGTTTAAAAGGCCATGTTGTAATCAATGTGTTAATACTGTCTCTGGTCTGGGTTTTAAAAAAAAATTTTTTTTATGTGGTTGGCCTGCTTCTGTATTACTGTACAGAGCCTGACCTATTTTTTTTACAGTCTATGTGCCTGACCCGTTTTTGCAGAGTTCACTTTAACAAAATGCACTGTAATCAATTTTAAAACAATCAGGTGGAAAATATCAGCTGATTTGTTGCCTTATTTAAAAAAAAAAGAACAAAACAAATCTAACCAATGTTCCTACCTATTATGTTCATTGTACTTTTTAAAGTTATTAATATGTTCCCACAGATATCTGTTATGATTTTACTTAACTAGACTATTATGTAAAATCAAACATCTTATAAGAACCTATTTTTGTCATTTTATTTCATATAATTTTCTTTAAAGTTTTTATTATAGTGGCAGCTAATAGGCCTACCAGTTTATTTGAGTAACAATAGCTGTAAGTTAGTCACTTTTATTATTTTTATTTTATTTGTGGCTGTGCCATTTTTTTTTTTTTTTTTTTTTTTTTTTTTTTACATCTGTGGCTAACAGCTGTATTATGTTTAGATATGATATTTGTGGCTAGCTGGAGTAATTATGGTATTTTTCTATTTAATTTTTTATGACATTTATGGTTTCTATCTGTAGTAACTTTTTTTTTTTTACTTGTTATTGAAATTTGTGTCTAACATAGCTGTGCTGTAACAATGGTATTTAGGCGGAAACTGTACGCAAGGGTCTCCGTAATGTATGAATCCCCCTTAACTTGCTCCTTAAACGACATAATATTATCTAATTATAATTCTGCTGAATGAGTTTGACGAACTATAATGGCACATATGAAGTAATCATCGAGAACTTGAGTTGTCCTTCTGTTTCTTTTCCGTTATTAGAAACCACCGTGGCATACGATGAACAGTAAAACAACAGCAACCAAACAAGGGTTAAGACTCAGTACACACACCTTCACAATACCAGGATAACATTCAATTCTTCATTCCCGACGTCTGGAGCTGATGTTTCATACACTGTGTCCCAAATCCCGAAACTATGTCCGAAAAAGTTCCCGTGTGACTGGTTACAAAGTTCGGACACATAATATGGTTAAATCATGCACTAGCGCCTCCTTGTGGTAAAAACAAAGGTGTCACGTTTATAACTGTTTTATCATAATCGTGTTGTTTACAGCCCTAATAAACGCTAAAGTTAATCTATTGGTCATAAAAAGAAACTAAAATTGGCAATTTGTATGTGACATAAAATGTTACAAATATATTAAACAATAATATTTTAGGTGATATTTTTTATGATTGTTTTCTTTAAAAAAGCATATTCTATCTCTCATTAGAATATTCTATATTATTCTAACACATTTTCAGTAAATAATAGATAAACAACTTTAACAACTCACAAACAACTCAGCCTTTTAGGGAAGTACAAACACCAGCGTTGTTTTCTTCAAAACAAAATATACTTAAAACCACAAGAGAGAGAGAAAAAAAAGAGAAATACACATTTCAAGGCTAGTGTCTCATATATGTATACATAGATGCCTCATTGGCAGATGTTTCTATGGGCCGCTCTACGTAAGCCGTCCGCCATATTGGAACGGTTAACGCAGGTCCGTGAACATTCGAGATCAAGTTATCTGCGCATCTGCAACCGAAGTTAGATGCCGCATGTGTGAATATCTATATCTGCAATGCTCCAGCAGCTGATTTTGACAATACAACAGGACGAAGGCGTCAGCTAACCTGACATTAAAATGTTACCATAGTAAAAACATTAAAACGCACCATAGTGAAAACCAGTAATATTGAGTTAATAGGCATAAAACACAAATCAACACATTCTCACCTGTGAAAGGTTATCCCATTTCTTCAGGAATTTTAATCTCGGCGGTTTCACAACCAGAAGCTGCGCAGTGTTGTGGCATCATGACTGTGAGTGACACGAGTGTGACGACAAGGTGGTGGGTGCGTCGAGCAATAGATTCATATGATAGATACCTCATTGGCGCCGTAAGCCGTCCGCCACATTGGAGCGGTCAGTGAACATTCGAGAGCAAGTTGACTGAGCGTCTGCAACGTAGTTAGAAGATGCATGTATGATGAATATCAAATAGACCACATGAGATGATTCTGTTAAACTAACACAAGGCGAAGGCGTCAGCTGACACGACGTAAAAAGTCCCCATAGTTAAAACGTAAACACATGTAATATTGAGTTAATACTTATAAAAACACAAACCAACACATTCTTACCAGTGAAAGGTTATCCCATTTCTTCGGGATTTAAAATCTCGGCGGTTTCACATCAATAAGCTGCGCTATGTTGTGGCATCATGGATTCTTAATTTCTTACTGACGACACGCTGCCCGTTGCAAGATGGCGGGCGCGCCTACGTGTCTGCAGCGGTGAAATGTGATTCTACGTATACATTGCTATTCGCCATGCTGCCGACGTGAGATGGTCCTCACTGCAGAACACGAAATCCAGGGGGAGGAGTTGGATCCAGATCCATCTCCTCCCTCCTTACATACCTAAACCTACCCATCTCCGCCCCCTGATCCCTAACCCCACCCCTAATCCTACCCATCTCCACCCCCTGATCTAACCCCACCCCTAATCCTACCCATCTCCGCCCCCTGATCCCTAACCCCACCCCTAATCCTACCCATCTCCACCCCCTGATCTCTAACCCCACCCCTAATCCTACCCATCTCCACCCCCTGATCTCTAACCCCACCCCTAATCCCACTCATCTCCACCCCTTAGATCTGGATCCAACTCCGCCCCCTGGATCTTGTGTACTGCAATGAGGCGCTCGAATGTGGCATCTACGTATAAATATCTATGTGGTTATGAATTTCTCCGCACCACGTGGTGGCAGCATAAGAAGTGTTTAGCTGTAAACTGTCGTTTCGAGCGCAGAGAACAACTAAACGAAAACTACGAGCGCAGAAAGTTATACATGTAGCCTAGTAACTCTAACTGAAAACTATGATGTTGCGATAATTAACTCACGGTTTATTCCAAAAGCATGGAGGAATTCAACACAACTGTCCGTATATCGGGTTTCGTGTTGAGTTCACTGATGTTTCATCATTTGAACAGTGATGCGGATGTGGTAAGTGGCAAATAAGGTTCTAATGTGACCATATGACTGGGTTTGCATTAAATAGCAAACTAAGAAGTCAACTGCGTCCGCTAAGCATTCCCTCGGTCCCATAACTTCTATTTACATTTGTACTATGTTTAAAGGAAGGTCTTATTCTTGGAGAGAGTATAGGAGAGGAGAACTGTAGGATCACAGACTCTCAAATTGATCACATACAGTTTGAACACACTATAAGTAAGTTGACTCTACTAAGTGTGCTCAGAAGGAACCAATATCTCATGACGAATGATAGCCATCACAACAAAACCCTAGAGTCATGATGTTTTCTCTTTTTCAGATATTCAAAAACACATCCCTTGTCATAAACTGCATAGGTAAGTGAATTGTTTAGGATTTTCCCACAAACCTATTTTCATATAAAGCAGTGGTGGTTCTTAACTGGTTTTACTTTAGGGCCTGGATTGTACATTTGGACATCAAATAGTTAGCCAAAACAGTACAAAATTGTTTATTATAAAGAAATGATTAAATATGTACTGATAATCAAATATTTTGAACTGCAAAATTGTTTATACATGTATACAGTGTTTTACTATTTACATTTAGCAGTTTACCTATTTTTGGCCACTGATATAGAGGTTTTTAAAAACTGATGACTTTTTTTCTTCTTTTTACCATTGCCTCAATCCTCTTGAAAGCTTCTACGGTAATGCTGGCGATGTGAGTGAGCAGAAAATAAGACAGATTTTGTCAGATTACAAAAGGGTATTTTCCACTTTCTAAATAATTTGGTTATTTTTTTTTTACTGCTGAATAAATCCACACGTGATTTGCATTAACAAATCGTGTTTTTCTCGCTACACATTTACTCGTGTCAAGGAGAATGTGATTGGGTGGTATAGACAACGAAGAAATACCAAACAGCAAATGACCTTCATGGAACAAGTGATTCATCAGAATATGAGAAAGATTCTCTCCAGTCAGGAACTTGTTTTCATGTTGCTCACACCCTCTCAGGCAACGGCTTCAGGCTCCACACATCGCCTTGAGTTCTCTGCTTTCTTATGGCACAGCAGGTGAGATACTCTCAACTCTGGCACACAGACATAACCAGACCTTTGAAGCTTAGAGAACTAAGGTAATTGAATGTATTTATTATCTCCATGCAGCCAGTACAACAATATCCCCATCTTGGTGAGCAACCTGGGAAACCTTGAACAACAAGACTACTGGAGAGTGTCAGGCACATGTCCATCTTTAGGACAGAGTCAAGCTGTTAATCAACACAGGTACATTCAGAAAATAAGTTGTAATTGCAATCGCTGTTTAGTTGTGCTTGCCAAGGCAAACACACATATAGTACCTGCCAAAAGTTTGGAAAGATTCATTTTTTTGTCCCTAATGCACACCAAAGCTGCATTTATTTAATCAAAAATACAGTACAATCGTGAAATATTATTACTATGAAAAATATTTGTTTTCTATTTTAACAAATTAAAATATATTAGAATGATTTATGAAGGATCATGTGACACTGAAGACTGAGGTAATGATGCTGAACATTTAGCTTTGACATTACAGGAATAAATTACATTTTATAATATATTCAAATAGAAAAGTTATTTTAATTTGCAATAATATTTTGCAATATTACTATTTGTACTGTATTTTTGATTAAATAAATGCAGCTTTGGTGAGCATAAGCAATACAATTAAAACACTTTGCTTGCAAAGCAAAAAGTTTTGCTCTGACAAGCACCACTCACATTTTCTAAAGAAAATATAAAAATCTAGCCTTTTCTTTAGAAGGGATGAATACATTTTTTTTATCTGCCAGGACCAAATTCTTCTGCACAGGGGATGATTTAAAAGAGGTCGGAAATGTCAGCGACATGAATGATGCTTTATTAGCAGAAATGCAGGTTAGTAACTACATTTCACATTAGTTGCGAACGTTTCTCCATTGTGATTTGAATATCTGTAATCATGAACTTTCATATCTATCTGTTTTATACAGAAAGTGTGCAAGGAAGTGGAGAAGAGTGAAAGAGCAGTTGAGAAACTTCAAGAAGACATTACACAGCTAAAGGAGGCAATCGGGAAACAGAAGAGACACTCAGAGAAAAATGAATGTAAGATCATTTATTTCTAGTACACTTTATATTGATGCCTCCAAGGCCAATCACACACTATGAACTGAGGCTTCCCATGGCAGATTTAAAACATAAAAGAGCTTCAGTGATTTAGTGTGCGCTTGAATACAGATCTTGTTGTAATGTAGCCTATTTTTTTTATTTAATTGATGAATATTATTCATGCTGTCATTATAGTAATACTACATTAATTTATGTTTTATCAGATTATTATGAGTTTAATTTTATAAAAAAACTTGCATATTAAGGGTGTTTACACAACAACGATGTACTAAAAGCAGAATAGTTTTTCGCGTACAGACGACAATGTTGTCAAAATGATCCACGTTCACATGGATCCGCAAAAATGACAAAAGCGCTGTATTATGCGTGCCAGGTCAGTAGTTGGAAATGTCACAGAAAAACTACACGTTTCCACGGAGACAAAAACGTTATTGTTTTCAAAAACTTGCAATTTGAAATCGTTTTTTAATTTTATTTGTGTTTTCAGGCTTCCAAAACACATAAAAAGTTTTCCGTTTTTAGTTGAAATTGGTGTCGTTTAAACAGTCCCTTATAGTCTTCATACAGAACCTATTCAAAGTGTTTGATACCATAAATATCCTGATTTTTCTACCAATCATTTGCAGTTAGCACACTATGAACTTAAGCTTGTCATCACAGATCGTAATCTCATGAATAACATTGTATTTCAGCCCACAAATGTGCCTCTCCAGAAGAACCCAAAGAGAACATACCTCTATGCTCAGCTCTGAGAACTCTCTTCCCCAATGCGCCCTCATTACGGACACAGACCCTCACTGTTCAGGGCTTCCCCATATTAGAACTGTGCTGTAATTCTGACCATAACATTGATATTTCCTCCAAGCTGCCTCTGATTCTGGAGAATCAACTCACCAGGAGGAAGGACGCAGCCCCCAGACTTAGGAAAAAATGCCTCGCTGCTGGTTTTCCTCCGAGACTTAAAAGGAAAAGGAAGACTAATGATATCAGCGAGTCGGCCCCTGAGAGCGGGTCAGATACAGAGATTGAGTTGAATGGACAGAGCAGAAGTAACTCTCCTGTCTTTTAAAGGGTAAAACTAAGCATGTTCTTATTTGTAAATCAATCTAGTCATGACTGGAAAGCATTACACATTTTATACCAGGAGGTTACCTTTATCTTGATATGCGAAAATTTTCTTTAATATCATTTTTTAAACTCTGTTTGTAAATGTTCCCTAGAAAATTAAAAGTTGAATCCACATTATTTAATTGATCAGTTTTATTAATGTTCTCATTTTAGTAGTACATGAATTTCTGGTTTATCAAATTATCAGTTGTGTTTCACTGTTTAGATTTTTTTTAAACCATTTGGTATGTTTTTACAAACTACAGATTTACACAAACAATAACACAAAGATGGCCTGCAGAGTCACAGTCTTCATACAGAGGCTATTCAAAGTGTTTGATACCACAAATATCAGGGTCTTTCATAAACTGGGGATTCTTCAGAGTGACTGACATAAAACCTGAGGATAGGACAAAGCTTTGTTAGTCAAATATCCTGGTTTGACTATATACATGCCATGGACATTTTACTATAGGCATATTTACGTCATTGTCAAAGTAAAAAAAAAAGAAGCTATAAATTCTTACCCATTGACCGAGCTTTCTTTATTGCTTTTGATACCTCCTTCTGCTTTCGACCGCACAAGCCTGTGAGCAAGAGAGTTACGGTGTCCTGAATTACTCAATCACAATTATTTTGAATATTAAAGTGAAAATTTGAACACATAGACCTCGCACCTGTTGTATGTCTGCCGTATACTCTGCCTGTGTGTGGTGAAATGAACTGGGACAACAGCTGGAGAAAGATTGCCAAAAGAGTGCTTTCATTATTATGACAATACAAATATAGAGAAGTATTCATATTCCTGTTCGTTTTACCAACCTGAACGTTTTTGAAGTCTACAGTTATATTGCAGAGGATGCAAGTTTTAGGGGGTTGCTTGTATGGGTTTTCCATTTTGATAGGCTGGATAATACATAATTTTGCAATGTTAGTGCAAATAATTATTCAGATGGTTCTAGAAAACATCAATTCAAGTTTCCGACAGAAACACTTATAAAAAAAAAAGCTTGCCATATCATCTTTCTCAAGTGGATCTTGTTGAGATGTTTTCAGACTTCTGATGCATTGAGCTGGAACAGATTAAATGAAACATTCATACATGCTGCCATGCATCAAATTTTGTTAAACAGATCAGGACAGTATCTTATATCTTGCTTTAACGTCTATGTTAATCACATTATTCAATAATAAGTCTACTACTGATAAAGAAGCGGTGGGCTTCTCATTAGAGTGCTTACGAAAATGTACTTGTCCTATGAGTAAGAGAATAACTAACGTTAGCTGTCCTGGAAATCATTTTGCATATAAAATTATTACGAAAAAAAAGTGTTGCAAAGATACCTGTAGCCCTAGGGGTGACTGGTTGTTTGGGAAAAGCCTGTAATAACAGGCGACTAAAAGAAAGGGCAAACATTCTTCGGTCTGTTCAGGAGGCCACCATGACAGTTTCTGCTTTCTTCTTCTGCAGAGTCACTTACCGCTATAATGCATGGGTGTGTTGCGATCTACCGCCACCTACAGGATCGGAGTAAGCAAAATATGTTTCAAAATGGAAATAAATCTAAAATAAAATCTTGAAATAAACAGGACCTTTACATATTATTGAAACATAACAGATGTAGAATATAAATGATAACTGTGCAATGGAAAATCAAATTTAATTATAAAATAATATATTTTATAAATTTATAAAAGAATATCATTTGTATAAAAAGCTTTAGTAGTTTTGCATTCTTGAAAGACTTTTTTTTTTTTGGAAAGAGGTCGTTTAAATACATTTGGAAAAACTTTGACAATTTTAGTTATTGAAATATAGTTGATATAAAATATTTTGATATAACACTTTTTTTTTAGACAGAGGGCGTTTAAATGCATTTTTAAAAGTGGATATAACATTTAAGCAATACAGAATTAATAGAAAATAAAATATGCTATTTATATAAATACCTTTTGTGGTTTTACAGTTTTTAGTATTTTGCATTCTAAAGGGACTTTTGTTCTACTTTTTCCCGTCTCGACACTTTAACAGTCACGTGGTCCAAAGGCGAACGTCCATTGGCCATCTCCATCACTCATCATTTCGAAAGTCCTCATTTTTGGTAAACATTTGTTACTGTATCGCCGCTCGCTATTCCACCGTTATTTTGTGCAATAATAGATATTTAGTTATTTGTTTAGGGTTTTTACGGACTGAATAAGGTCAGTTACCTAGCTATGATAAAGACTGTCTTACAGTAACGTTAGATGAAAAAACAGCTTTGGCTCTTTGTTGCTGTTGTCAGTTACTGACCCTTCGTCAGTACTATCACACAATGCTTTAATCTCCGTGTGGAGTATCATTACAGTAGTAATGTATACTGACAACCACATACACGACATTGTGGTAAAACGCAACCCTTCGTCCTCAAGAAAAAGATCGAGGGATGGCATAAGAAGTCGCATCACTCCAGCCAAGAAGCGGTCTAGCTTCACATCAACAAAATGCACTTCCGGTGAAGGACACAATTGTGCTCAAGACATGACTGAGAATAAAGGCACAGAGCTGGTAAGCAGCCTCTTATTTATTTTCATCGAAAGATATACGTTGGTTTCAAGCATAATGATGTTTTTTCTGTACTTGCCCAGTGCTGCAGTGACAATGAGGACTTATTTGAGGGTTATGACAGCATTGTGTGTGACAGCTCCTTTCTGGCTAAGCTTGAAGATGTGGAGCTCCAAATGAGGCAGTGCCATGATCAGCAGGCTCCAAACCTCTGTGAGGATTATCTTTCAGACTCTATCTTAGCAGAGGATTTCAGAGACTCACCACTGAGAGCTTTACCAAGCTCTCAACTTGAATTTCAAAAAGCTGTCACAACCCCACACAAAAGCTCTTCAAGGGGTGCACATAACACCTCTACCCCTGATTTGATTTATCCCAGGCCAGCTATCAATCATGCAGATCTCAATGTCAACAAGCAACCCTCAAAAGCCAGAAGAAGTATGAAAGATCATCTTAAGAAAGTACTGATAGATAATGCAGCAACATCCAGCACAGTCTCCAAGACAGTACAACAAAAGGAAGCTGTGATGACTGAAGAAATGAGTTTTGCCATGCAGACCATGGAGTCCATATCAGCTGAGGGGGACCTGGGCCCTTTTTTTGGTCTCCCATCCAAAGTTAAAGATCTTATTCTGAGGTTCAAGGAAATCCAGGACTTGTATGGTAAGTATTTCACATTCTTTTCATTTCGGTTTTCTCCTTATCGGCAACTGGTATCAGTGTTTTAACTCTATCATTATTTTCTATTCTCTTTTGCTTTCAGAGTGGCAGAAAACGTGTTTGAGCCTGGATTCGTTGCAACAAAGGAGAAATCTAATTTATTCTTTACCAACAAGTGGTGGAAAGACTCTAGTGGCAGAGATTCTCATATTTAAAGAGCTCTTGTGTAGAAAGAAAGATGCCCTGCTAATTTTGCCATACATATCCTTGGTTCAGGAAAAGGTATGCATATATATATATATATATATATATATATATATATATATATATATATATATATATATATATATATGCATGAGTTATGTTTTATTATCTACGCAGTTTGACAATTAGAAGAATGCAAGCAGTTTTGGACAATTATTTCTGTATTATTATCCATTTATCATAGAATGATAGATGCACTGATTTGCCTTTAGGTTCGAGGGTTGTCTGGCTTTGGAATTGAGTTGGACTTCATGGTCGAGGAGTATGCTGGTAGTAAAGGGAAGTTTCCTCCAGTCAAGAGAAGAAATAAAAACTCTCTGTACATCACAACCATTGAGAAAGGACACAGTCTTGTCAATTCACTGATTGAAAATGACCGCCTCGACAATATTGGCCTGGTTGTTGTGGATGAGGTGTGTATCACGAATTATTATTATTATTAAGTATTTTTTTAAAATTGTGTTTTGGTTTAGTTTTGATTCAGGTTTAGTTCCATTTGATAAGATTTTTAATGCATATTCTATTTTAATATGTTTTTAGTTGAAATTTATTCCTGTAATGACCAGGCTGGATTTTCAGTTACATTGTAACATGAATGTAAAGGCCTTTTCTTCCATTGTTTAATGTATCCTTGCTTAATAAAAGTTTTTTTATTTTTTATTACTGACCTCAAACTTTTGAATGGTAGTGTATTTGATAAGCTTTTCAAATGAATGTATGCTTTTTATTTTCAGCTCCATATGCTTGGTGATGGGAGCAGGGGGGCAATTCTTGAAATGACTTTGTCAAAGATTCTGTACATGAGCAGTGAGTAATCTAAAACTCACACATGCAGTATACTTCACCTCTGTAATGGTCACTCCTTACATATTCTGATTACCCCATTGTTGTTTTCCCACAGAGTCAACTCAAATTATTGGTATGAGTGCAACTCTAGGCAACGTGGGAGATCTTCAGACCTTTCTGAATGCTGAAAACTACACCAATGACTTTCGACCTGTAAGAATGACCTCTGTGTGACTGATTTAGTAAATTTTTAAATTCGATTTGAATAAATAACTGGTGATTTTGTAGGTTGAGCTGAAAGAGTATGTAAAAGTAAAGGACACCATATATGAAGTTGACCCAAAGGAAGAGACATGCTTCAGTTTCTCACGACTCCTGGATTTCAAGGTATTCTTCAAAGCGTTTTTTTCTTTTTAACTCAACAAGATATCGAGCTGCTGAGCTCATTGAACTTTTGTGTGATGGACTTTTCCAGTACTCTAGTGGAATGCAGAAGATGGACCCTGACCACATCATAGCCCTGGCTACCGAAGTCATCCCACAGCTGTCCTGCCTCATTTTCTGCGCCACCAAGAAGAACTGCGAGAATCTAGCTGGAATGATCTGCAAGTATTTAAAAAAGTGCGTAGACCTTTAGATTCCTTAAAGGGGTCATATAATGGTACATGCACTTTTCCAAGTTGATTGTACTGAAATGTGTGTTGGCAGTGCCTGTACACAAACATCATATAATGATACAAATCCATCCAGTGGTTTTGTTTTAATCTCCTTATATGTTTTCCCCTGCCTCAAATCGAGCCGTTCGTTTTTGTGACGTCAATAAAACGGACGCCCCTCCCACGATTGTTGATTGACGGGAGCGTTTCAACACAGACCCGCCCTCGCACATGAGGTAGCTGTCAATCATAGTCTGCGCGGCGCGGACCGGACCGGCGCGGTCATTGTTGATGTGCCGGAGCACTGTCTATGAGCAGAATGGCGTCGATTGTGGTGTTCTGTTCTTGGGTGTAATAACGAACACAGTCATTTTAATGTTCCTGAATCCGAACCGCTGAAGACGCAGTGGCTGAGTTTGTTTTCGAAGGGAATATTCCACACGAGCAACGTCAATGCTTTCATGTTTGCGCGAATCATTTCACACACCAGACTGCTTTATAAACGAGGGTCAGTATAAAGCTGGATTTGCTAAGAAGCTTTGCTAAAAAGGATCGGTACCAGATATTCGTGTTCCTGCTGAACCTCCAGAAGAACGGAAGTGAGTGAAACGTTTTATTAAACTTTATATTAATATATTAATCTTTGCAAATCGCTAGCTGCACGCTTCACAATGAATGCGTCTAAGGTTTACACTCAGTCAGGGTACATTACGGCATGTTTTCTATGTATGACGTTCTCAATATAATTCATAATTCCACGTTTATACTGAACAACGCGTTATTGTGTTATTGTGCTACAAACGGTGTATGCACAGAACAGAGGGGCGGAGTGAGCGCAGCTCATGATCATTTAAAGGCATATGCACTGAAATGGCGTGCTGAAAACAGAGCTGTTTTTGACCAGGTAAAATAAGTGTTTTCTTACAATACTAATGAGAATTTTTAATTAAAGTATATTACAAACTTTTAATTCAGACCCTAAAGAATCATATTAGCTTGTACAAAAATGGCATTATATGACCCCTTTAAAGTGCTTTTACATAATTTTGTCATTGATATGAAATGAAACCTCTGCATTTTTTCTCAGGGAGTTTCTGAAACACAAGCAGGCAGAGAAAGCCACACTTCTGGGTGAACTGAAGAGCAGTGGGAATGGATCCTTGTGTCCTGTGCTGCAGAAGACTGTGCCCTTTGGCCTGGCCTACCACCACAGCGGACTGACCAGTGATGAGAGGAAGCTGGTGGAAGAGGCCTATTCCTCAGGGGTGCTCTGCCTCCTCACCTGCACCTCTACTCTTGCTGCTGGCATCAACCTCCCTGCACGCAGGTTTGTCTAGGCCTATGCATCTCGAACCCAAGTGGTCCCAGATCAAATTGTTATCAAACCTGGACTAAAAGAGATTTTAAAAACTGTTGAAGTATTGAAAGGGGTTTCTTAATCATGTGTTGTGGCCTAATGGTTAGAGATTCGGACTTGTAACCCGAAGGTCACAGGTTCGATTCTCAATACCGTAAGGAAACGACTGAGGTGCCCTAAGCCCCAATCGCTCCATGGGCGC